TCAGCGTTGTCTTTTGTATCTTCTATGCTTTAGAAACTCCCCATTTTAAATCCAGAAATCCCATACTCTCCCTTCATATATGTGCCAAGGCCTCCATTTTGGAAAGGCACACCTCCTACCCCACCACTTACACACACACACACACACACACACACACACGCACACTTTTACTGGGCAACAGGTTCCTTTCACCTCTAAAGACCAAAAGCTAAAGTGAGTAGATGTATTAGATATTTTCCATGTATCCTGTGTTATGAAAATTGGAGTTTAAACATCCAATTTTAATGCAAAACCACTTCTGAAAAATAAAAGGCTGAAAGCCACATTTCCCTAAAGCCTGTTGCTATGCTGAACTGCAGATGTAATTATCAACACTTCAGCTCCTCTTGGAAACGCTTTGTGGGAATGATTGCACCAGGGTCGGGCTGCTAGAGTGCATAGCTGGGGTTGGCTTTCAAGTGGCCGCTTGGGGCCGCTCTCAGCAGATGAAAGTGAGATGGGCGGGCCAGGCAGCGTGCCACTGATGGTGGTCCCGGTCACCTTGGCCAGAGCCTTGTCCAGTGATCTCATGGACTTCTGTGCTGTGAAATGAAGTCAATGCCACAAAGGCAACTACGTCTGGAACACACAGAAACCCCACGTCTTGGGAAAGGAAAGATATCCTTACCTGCCATTGTTATTCTCCACAGGCTCTGTTTAATGCATGGAGACTGATTTTAAATGGAGCCTCAGAGTTGTGTACATGTGGTCCTTCCCACCCTGAACCCCCTTCCTGGTCAGTCTCCCGCTCTGAACACACATTCAGCGAGCAGTTTCCACCGCTCCAGTCATCGAGGTCGAGAAGTTGGATGAATGTTCTTGTAGGTAGAGGGCACAGAAGAAAAAACAGACAAATACACGAGAGGGCCCAGTACCAGAGTGGAGAGGAGAGCGGGGTGCTGAGGGGAGTGGGCAGAGGGTGGGTAGGGAGGGTGTCCTAGTCCTGGGGGAGGCCAGGCAGCCCCAGAGCTGTGATCTGTGGCCATTTGGCGCTTGGAGGAGGGTGGAGGCTGGATCTCTGTAGATGGCTGGGCATGTCCGGGCAGTGCAGGAGGGTCTGTCAGTGCCTCTGGACTGAAGGCTGGGGAGGTGGACACGGTCAAGGAATGGTGTGGGCCTTGTCTTTAGGACAAGAAGGGGCCACAGGGGGGTGCCAAACCCGGCAGGGTGGGGGAGATTGGCATTTCCAAGAGCACTTTGGCGGGAGTGTGTGGGGATGGCTTTGAGGGGAGCAGACTGGAGGTGGAGAATCATTTAGGAAAGTAAGAGGGGGATGGACATGAGTGATGCTGAGGGGAGAGGATCTTTAGGACTTGGAAGCAAGGGGCCCTCCTGCCATACACTGGAGCCGGGATTTTTTACTCTGACATGCAGATCCCTTTACCCCTCTTCACCATCTGTCCTTTGCAGGTGGACAAATGGGACCTAATCAGACTTATAAGCTTTTGCACAGCAAAGGAAACCATAATAAGATGAAAAGACAACCTATGGACTGGGAGAAATATTTGCAAACGATGCGACTGACAAGGGCTTAATTTCCAAAACATACAAAAAGCTCGTACAGCTCAATACCAAAAAAAACCCCAAACAACTCAATCAAAAAAGGGGCAGAAGACCTAAATAGACATTTCTCCAAAGAAGACATACAGATGGCCAACAGGCACATGAAAAAATGCTCAACATCACTGATTATTAGAGAAATGCAAATCAAAACTACAGTGAGGTACCACCTCACACTGGTCAGAATGGCCATCATCAAAAAGTCTACAAATAACAAATGCTGGAGAGGGTGTCGAGAAAGGGAACCCTCCTGCACTGTTGGTGGGATTGTAAGTTGGTGCAGCCACTGTGGAGAACAGTATGGAGGCTTCTTAAGAAACTAAAAATAGAACTACCACACGACCCAGCAATCCCACTCCTGGGCATATATCTGAAAAAGACGAAAACTCTAATTCAAAACGATACATGCACCCCAATGTTCATAGCAGCACTATTCACAATATCCAAGACATGGCAACAACCTAAATGTCCATCAACAGATGAATGGATAAAGATGAGGTATATATATACAATGCAATATTACTCAGCCATAAAAAAGAATGAAATAATGCCATTTGCAGCAACATGGATGGACCTAGAGATTATCATACTAGGTGAAGTAAGTCAGACAGAGAATGACAAATATCATATGATATCACTTATTTGTGGAATCTAAAAAACATATATAAATGAACTTATTTACAAAACAGAAATTGATTCACTGACATAGAAAACAACCTTATGGTTACCAAAGAGGAAAGCGGAGGGTGGGGGAGGGATAAATTAGGAGTTTGGGATTAACATCTACACACTACTATATATGAAACAGATAACCAACAAGGACGTACTGTATAGTACAGGGAACTATATTCAATATCCTGTAATAACCTATAATGGAAAAGAATCTGAAAAAGAATATGTAGGTATATGTATAACTGAACCACTTTGCCGTACACCTGAAACTAACACAGCATTGTAAATCAACTATACTCCAATTAAAAAAAAAAAAAAAAGCACTGCACGTTCTGGCATGTAAAATGCTAAAAAAAAAAAAAAAATCCAGAAATGACTTTTAAAGTGCTGGGAGTTGGCTATAGTATAATGGAATGTTGGAATTGGAGAAAACAGTGCTTCCTGTGTTAGCTGTCTGCAGTGCTTTTTTTGTGACTTAAAAACTTTTGTGATGGATTGTAAAATGTCTCTCCCACACCCCTCCCGAAGCCCCTCCCTACTTCCCTGGTCCAGTCAGCACTTGGTGATGTCAAACCACTGGGAAACCAACAAGAGGAGATCACCCTGGATGTGAGCAGATGTGTGTCAACATTGCTATAAAGAGAAGGTACTGGTAGGTTGGACCAGAATGTGACATCATTGAAAATAACAAGCTGCCTGCATCCACACGTGGCTGCCACGGAAAGGAAGGATCACACATACTTTGTGTGGGTCAAGAGGCCAGAACAAGGCCTGACTGATGGAAGCTGGGCTTTGACTTAGAAGAATTTTCTAACAATTCTACGCAAAAATTCTCAACAACAGAACTTACCATACTGTGAAGCAGCAAACACATCATCATCAGTAGCATTCGAGCAGAGACTGGATGACTGCTGTCTCTCAAAAGGGCTGCAGAAAGGATTCAGTGTACAGGCATAAAGGCTAGAGCACATCAGGAAGAATCATGAGAGGTACTGTGAACATTAGGACATCTGATGGGCTCTGCCCAGAAGGACAGAGACCTTGTCCCCATTGAGAACGCCAAGGGTGTACCCGGCTCCAAGTTCTCCCGGGCTGGTGCAGGCAGATCCCCCCTCAAACGCCACCACAAAGACCCCCATGGCATCCGAGGACTGAGTCCTAGTCAGGGGATTTGGTTTGGTTTGTGGGAACTGGGATTTTCTGCTTTGTTTGCCGAGCTTCCAACCTGGCCCCCACATGGCAGGACACGGACTTTTCTGATAGATTTCTCTACACTGCCCTGTTTAGGAGAACAGATGCTGTGGGTCAGGCCAACAGCCATAAATTTCCAGGAAATAACTCTTAATGACTGAGGAAGAAAGCCATAACGCATCCTGGAGACAGGGACAGGAGAAAACAGGGGCAGAGGACGATGCACAGGATTACGGCTAAATGCCAGGACGAGCCCCATGGATCCTCCTCCTGGCCTGCGCCACTGCTGGGGAGCCCATGCCAAACACGCTCCCCGGTACCCAGAAAGGGGAAGAGGCCCTGACACCCCGGACTTTTCTTCCTCTCTTGCGGTTTATGTTTTTATTTTTTTAAACATCTTTATTGGAGTATAATTGCTTTACAATGGTTCTCCTGTGGTTTATTCAACAAATAGTTACTGAATCCTCCTGCGTGGCAGGCACCATGCTGGGCAAGGGAGATAGCCGTGAACAAACAGACCAAATCCCTGTCTTGTGCAGCTCATAGGCTGGTCATCTCTTAGGTCTTACCTGCTGGAGGGAAGAAATGGTAACTAACATGTATTGTGTCCACATGGTGCCCAGAGGTTTTACAGACTTACCTGAATGGATTTCCACAGCAACCCCCAAAGCATCCCTGTGTTACACTTTTAACACACGAGGAAACTGGAGGGTCAGTCATTGTCATCATCTAGATGGGACGGGTCTCCGACTACTTTCTCCTGTATCTGCACATGGCAGCCCTACACCACTGTGGCCACACCTGGCCATGTGTTTACGCAGTTCTGGAACACGTGACCCAGCCCCTCCCCCCCCCCCCCCCCCCTTTTTCCTCGTCCAAAGACGACGGGCTTTCC